ACTTTTTAACTATTGAAGTTACAAAAATAATTTTTACATATTTATATATCATTTAATAAGCTTATTTTATTTTGTTAATTTCAGCAAATTATATTAACATTGATCAATACCTTGACATTGTGTTTAACTAATTTGGTAGTTTTTTAACCTTTGGATTTTCCGCCTATTATCCATAAAATATAATTACAAATGTATATCTATTTAATATATTAATAAAGTGTTTATTTGAAATCATATTTTGATATTTTTTATTATAGTATTGTTTAAACAGACTGTACATTACATGTGAAAAAACAGTAAGGACTTGCGGAATGCTTTCGAGTACTGGTTGTGCCACGCGATTTGGTAAAACACTAAAACACATACAATTTTATAATGCGTTTTCCCATTAATGGTAAAAGGGGTTTAAGACTACCTCTGGTTTATCTGTCATTATTTATAGTCAATCAATTCAAATGAAATAATTTTTATTTTGGTTTACAGTATGATAACTAGGCTTTAATATGACAAGTTTTTCAGGCCTTTTGTTATTATAAGTTATCATTTTTAACATTACATTTCACTGCAATTTTTATGTCCGAGGGTGATAGATTATGTGGTAATAATATTACAGAATATTCTGTTGACAAGAATTACTGTCAAAACAAATGTATTAAGAATTGTCACGAAATATANTTGACAAGAATTACTGTCAAAACAAATGTATTAAGAATTGTCACGAAATATACTATTCGTTAGAATTGGAAGACAATCAATATTCGGCACAAAATGACAGCAAAATTACTATTGAATACCAAATGAGTCGAGAATTTCACTACAAATCCGACAAAAAGTATTCTTTCGTTGACTTCCTGTCAAACATCGGAGGACTCATTGGGTTGTGGTTTGGGATGTCTTTCATAGATACGAGTGCTTTCATTACACAAACACTTCATTATATGAAACTATTGATTCATATTTACATTCATAGAAATGTGAAATTATTTGTGTTAAGACTCGTAAGAAAGTTGAACAAGCAACATCCTATAGCCATGAGTTCATCCCTATACTTATATGACAAATCAATATTTCTTTCCCAAAGTTGTTGTCTGTATTTCTCCTTCACTTCTCTCTCAGTATTTGTCGGCAAACCTTATAAATGACACAATATTTTCAAAAATTATATAATCACTTGTTATTAAAATTTAATTAATACCCAAATACGATGGGGGCAGCCGTTTATCAGGATAACCCAAATCCAGTGATAGTGCGCTATCATTCCAACTGAATATCCAGGGTATACCTGATTTCACAATAGATGGGTAATTGATAAAATGATCCAATATTATAAGGCGTGGCTTCAGTTCTCCAATAATAGTCTTCAGGTATGGATCCGTTTCTTTGGCTTCTCTCATAAAATACTTCAAAAACAATGCATTCATACGAGCGGTCGGTTCCATAGGTTTAACAAATGTTTTGTATTTTTGTATACAGCATTAGACCGCTGTCCGGCGAGTCTTTTATGGCTTCATTTGTGTCCACACTTTGTAATAGTTTGTTATCAAATCCCATGGACTCGAGCAGTGCTTTCCAAACGCCGTTCATCGCAAACACACTGGTGGTCGATACCACTGTGTGTTTGCGGTGACCAATGAGTGGAAGTCACGGCTCGAGTCCATTGGGTTTGAGGTGAAACTCATGGGACAACCGGTGGCCGGGGATGTAGTGGCGACTGATTCAGCCGATAGTAACGTGGCTGTGGCCGAGGAATCGGGCGTTTTTGAAAACACCACTCCATTGGAAATGACTATTCGTGTTAACGATTGGATTGTAAACTTGGGTCTCAAAGAGATGATACAAACGGATCCATTGGTTAAGGCTATTATAGAGGACCTAAAGCCTGATGTTATAATAAATGACCAGATTATTCAATTACCTTCAATTGTCACATCAGGCATACCCTGGATATTCAGTTGGAGTGGGAGCCATTGTCATTAAACTACGGTTACCCGGATAACATACTCCCACCAGCATTCTTAGGTATGCGTACATTACATATAATCCAAAATATCAGTAAATGTATCCAAAATAATAATATTATTATTCTATTGTTTGTAAGGATTGCCGACAAATAGTGAGACAGAAGTGAAGAAGAAATACAGACATCAAGTTTGGGAAAGAAGTCGTGAAATGTGGTATAAATATAGGGATCAATTGGTTTCCATGGGATGTCTCAAACTTCAAGAATTCCTAATCTGGACCCCTTCCCCATAGGCTAACATTTATATGACTCCTAAGGAATTGGATTATACGGATGTCAGACCACTTCCCGACAATTTCTATGCATTTGGTAAATTTTAAACCAGACGCCCAAAATTTTTAAAATTCCCAAATTATTGTTTTAAAATATTAGTTAACTTATTAACTATTCCAAACACTAGTATTTAATGAATTAAAAGTGACTAAGATATTTTGTTGGAAACATAATTTTCATTTGGTTTCACTATCTTTTGCACACAATTTGTTTCACTAATCAATTCGTTACTGTTTTGCACTTAAGATCACTTCCGATATAACACTTAATATGACAATCAGTTTAGCATTTATTCGTTTAATAAAAATATAATTTCATTTAAAATATTGTATTTTTTGAAATGATTACTTAAATAGATTTGTATTTAAAGTATAAACAGAAACAGTAATTGAATGACAAAGCATTTTATTATAATATAGGTTTACTCAATTATAAGTCATTTTTATTTGATTAATAAACTAATATTCATGAGTATTTCAATAAATGCTACTTTAATCCATAATGTACCAGTATTCTTTAAACTTTAGAATACTAGTGTTGTATATACTCAGCTTAAATAGTAATAAATTGTAAGTACATACATCACTAGTTGGTTTCTGGAAACCATATATGCTCTAAGTTTTAAACGAACCGGAAATGAAGACACGTTTAAAATACCGGACAATCTTAAGAATAGGTCCAGAAAACTAATTTATTTATCGTTGGGTTCAATCGAATCCAGAAATGTATTTCTCATGAAGAGATTGGTTGCGATTTTGTCCAAATCTAAGCACCGGTTCATTGTCTCCAAAGGTGTCAAACATAATGAATACGAATTGGCGGACAATATGTGGGGCGAGAGGTCTGTCCCTCAGGTAA